ATTAAAATATTGAAAAAATTCAATAAAAAAAATATGAAAAAAAAATTTAAAAAAAACTTGATTTTTTGTGTGGGTTAAACCAACGAAGATGATTGTTATTTTCCTTGAAATGACGCGAAAAAAATATTTGTATTATTTTATTATTTTATATGTATAAAGGCTAAGGGGCAAATATGTTATTTTAATCTGATAGGGAGGTAAGTGTAATTTTGTAAATGTGAGAGGGGATCTGTATTAAATAAAAATCTCAGGGGATGTCAGTGTAATTTACCCTAAAGAAATTAAATAAATATAAGAGTGCTACTATTAGAACCCCATCAATTATTTTGGACCCCCCATTTTTTAGTTTTTTTTTTTTTTAATTACAATAATAACCTTAAATGAAATTACTAAAGATGACATCAATAATTTTGGAACACCCTATCTCACAATTATGCCCACGCATCCACCACATCATGAGTTAAGGTTTATGAGAGTACCCACCTCCATCACCACCCATCAATCTTTCCCAAATCCCACATTCAAAACCTACCTATCCTCAAAACTTTGAAAATCCTTTGACAACAATATTCCGGCAGTAACGGTGGCAACTATTTGATTACCTACACTTCTCCAGCAATGATAATAAATGGATGTTTTTTCAACAACAACTACTCTATGAGATGAAAGGAGTACAGCAATAATAGCTCAGAGGAGGTTCATAGCTTTGTTGGTGCTCTTAGCTTAGAGGAAATTGGCCTTATAAGGGTAAGTTTCTTGATAAAAAAAATAGCAAAAATAATTAAAACTGTTCGTCATTTTTTCAAAACTGAACTCTTGAACATATGACTGAAATTCAGGAATACAGACTCGAACATTGTTTATTTGTTTGGGAACAGGTAACCAAACATTTGTTTTCTCAAATCATGAATAAGTATGTGAAAATGAAGTAGTAATTACCTTCGTGAATTTTTGTTAGGATTTTTGGGAGAGAGACTTTTTGGGGTGTGTGGGTATGCATTCAATTGAATGGGTGAAATGTCTTCACGAGGATAATTTTGATATTATTTGGGGCGAGAAAATAAATTTTAAGGGTTTTAGAATTTATAAGTGGGGATTCAAAGAAATGGAGATCCAAAATAATTGATATGGTGCTAGTAGCAGCACTCTAAGGCATTGTTTGGGAGCAGACTAATTTAGTAACTTTTTGGTTATTTGGCTAAAATATGAGCTAAAAAAAATTAGTATATTTCAAATGACTTTTTGACTTTTTACGAAAAGATGTGACAAAAGTAGAAAGAAAAGAGAATCTTTGACTTTTTGATGTAGATTATTGGCTTTTTGATTTTTTTAGTGACTTTTTGACTTTTTGATTAAAAACATCACTTGCTAAACGAGACCTAAATATAATTATAATCAATATAATATAATATAATGAGAAAATATAGTCAATTTGTTAAATAAATAATTTTTTTGGACAGGAATTACAAAGCAAATATAATTATATGTTACATAATTTAAAATTAATTTAAATAAAATTTAAAGTAGAGACATCTAATAATTAAATATAGGAAAAATTGGCCTAAGGTCCCTCTCCCACTTTTCGTAATGGAAGAGATCCACAAAATTATTTTTTGATGTCTAAGGTCCCTAAACATGTATCAGAGAAATTTGACTCTTTGTCCCGAAACTATCGAAGGTCGGGACAGCAACAGGGACAACTGGTACGCATTCGGAAACGGAAACGATTGAAGTGGTGCGAATGAAGATGGAATCGACGTCCAATGGATCGACCTTGGGGACCTGGTAGGGCACAGGAGGGCTGTCGTACTCAATCGCAATGGAGTAATCGAGCTGTTCTTCGTTAGGCAATAGAGCTCCGGCAGGTAACATCTTCCTCAGATGGTTGCCACCGCAGCATTCACGTCTTTGGGCACCACATTGCCTCTGTACATCAGACAACAAGCCATGTATTTGCCATGGCAAGGATCGCATTTCACAATCATAGAAGATGGTTCGAATGCGCTGTTTGTGATCTCACGCCAATGGGTGTGGCTTCTTCGGCGCAGCGGCGACGATGAACTTGTGCTCCAAGTGCTATAGAGACTTCCGGATCACAGGGCAGATGTTTACTCATTTGGTGTGGTACTGCTAGAAGTGCTTTCTGCGAAGTCGGTAATGAATCCCGTAGCAGAAGAGGAAGATGTAAACTTAGTAGAATGGGTATCATCTCACATCCATAATGGTACCGCGGACCAGATTGTGGACACAAGTATGAAAGGAACAACATCAAGAGTCATTTGTGAAGTTTTTGGAAATTGCCATGAATTGCTTGGCCAAACATAGTGTAGAGAGGCCGACTATGGGTGAGGTTCTCTGGAACATAGAGTTGCCTTTGAAACTTCAAACTGGTGTCGAAACAGGTAAGGTTGAAGTACTAAACAACATAGATTTTCACATCGCCACAATGGGCACAGGGAACAACTCAGATGTAACTCCTGGAATTGAGTTCTCTGAGATCGTCATGCCCCTTGGACATTGATGAAATTGTCTGTAACATTTATGCTTTGCAAATTTGAAGTGTGTTCTCTGAGATCGTAATGCCCCTTGGACGTTGATGAATTTTCTCTGGACTGTGAATTTTCTCTGGACATATGAATTTTCTTGTGCCGACTTGCAGTTCATAGTTTTCACACCTGTGTTTTGTCTGCCTATCCATCATTCAAATCCCATGGACATCAATCTGAAGTGAGTTTTTGAGGAAATCATGCAAGGGAAATTTCTCTGGGTTTTTGTGATTTTTTTGAAAATTTTTGAGTTTTTGTGAATTTTTCTGAGTTGGAAAGGAATTTCTCTAGGTTAAAGAGAATTTCTCTGGAAATGTTTCTTTAGGAATTTCATTGATTTTGAGAGAATTTCTCTGGCTTAGAGTGATCCAGAGAAATTCTTCATTCATTTTCTCTGGACCAACCTTCTCATTTTCCTTTTCAATTTTCACAGCAGCTTCCTCCATACCTTCTCCCTTTCCTTCCCTTTTCTTTCCCTCCCCTCCTCACAGCAGCTTCCTCCATACCTTCTCCCCTTCCTTCCATTTTCTTCCATTCCACCTAACTGGCAGTCATAGTTATATATATATATTCACAATTGAAGGATTTTCTCATCCCTTGTTCTACATTTTCATTCTCCTTCTAGTTTTGACTACATTTTTTCAGCAACTATTCCATCTTCTCTTGCTAGTGCTGGCTAATCAAGGACTTATGTTGCATCAGATGATGTGAAGATTTGGATCAAGTATTTTGCTTTCAAATTCGGTTTTGGTTGAAGGGAGTTCTCTATTATCATGGGTAATGTGACTTTTTGTTTATGTTTTTGACTCATTTATATATAAATTATCATAAGGAGAGTGCAGAATGAATTTTTTCATTTCACAGATTTGGTAGTAATTAGTTTGTCAAAAAATTTCTATCCAGAGAAATTCTTTGGGATTTTAACCATTGTATAAATTTTATCTGAAAAATTCTCTGGAAGGTCAGAGAAATAGAGAAAATTGGTCAAACTGAACCCAGAGAAATTTGAATTTTCTCTGAGTTGAATCCAGAGAAATTCAGAATTTCTTGGATGAAATTTCTCTGGATCAATTTTCTCTGGACTAATTTTCTCTGGATCAATTTTCTCTGGATCAACTTGAGGGACCTTAGACATTATGAAAATATTTGGTGTCCTTTATGCTATAAAATGTTAATACCAGGGACCTTAAAAAAAAACCCTTAAATATAATAAAATATGGATTCTTACATATACACATGTTACCTTTATATTCAACTATCTATTTAAATATCACATAGCTATATATGTGCCATTTATCTATTCACATATTTGTTTAATGTCATCTATATGTTCACCTCACCGCCCCTAGCAGCACCAACGACTTTTTCGGTGCCAATGACTTTTCTAACACCGACTTTTCTTGCGACTTTTCAACTCATGTCTTTATCATCATAAAAAAAGAAAATTAAAAAAATAAATTAAACCTTGGACCAAATAATATATGGTCCTATAGAAATAAACTTTTCATCAATTAACCTTTTCTACAGGGTAAAGTAAACCAACTTTTGTTAACGATTGGATAAATTTCACTACAATATTTTAGAGTTTTAGGGACTAAATTTTTTTATCCCTAAAATGAAATTTTTGTTACATAAAATATTAAGAGACAAATTTATGTTGTTACAGGAGAAGTCATCACTAAGAGATTGTCTCAAAAAGTCAAAAAAACAAATCATTAGAGGGAGGAGATAAATGAGGAGAGGTATTGTTGGTTAGGTATATGGTGGGTGGAGAGACCTAACATAGGGGTGCTGGTTGTGTATTACTGAAGGTGGGAATTGGGATTGTTTGTTGCAGTTTAAAGTTATTTTAATTTAAGAATTTGTACCAAATTATTTGATACAACTTGTGTTTATAACTTTTTAAGCAAAAATAACTTAAATAAATTTAAAAAAAAAACTAATTTTCTATAAGTTAGGAGATGAGTGCTTTCAACTTCCGCTTTATGATTATCAGTTTTTAGTTTACAATAAGTTGCACCAAACAAATCCATCGTGGGTTGGGAGGAGTGTTTGGTTATGAAGATATGTATTAATTTAAGAAAGAACAATGACTTTTAATCAGGTAGGATTTTAATTTTGTGTAGGCACTTCTCATAATTTGTTACCAATAGTCATCCAACAAGCAAGGACAGTGTAATTTCGAAAACTACATGGGAGGTCCATGTAATTATTAGTAACCTCGCGGGATTCCTTGATTGACATGTCTCATCTTTCTAGCATACACATTATAGTAGAAATATGGTGCAAAGAAACTGATTAATTTAATTTGGATAATATATCTCCCTTTTGTTTAGTTGTATTCACTTTTTAAAGGGGAAGATAACCAATTTTAAAAATATTAATAATAATAGTTAATGATAAGAATTGGGTAGACTCTCAAAAAACTAACAATAATGATAAGAATTAGGTAAGTAGATGGAGTTTGTTCTTATTTGGAAGCAACTTAAAAATGCAACAAGTTTTCACATGATGATTGAGGCATGTAATACACAAACCATAAACACATAATCTGGAAAAAAAAGACCAAGAAGAAACAAGACCGCAAGAGGGCATAGAAGGATCAAACAAGAAAAGTAAACAACTAGTTAATGTGAAAATGTTCATCGATCTCTATGTCCGAAAAATGCTAGCCCTCAAGATGCATGAGTGGAAAAGGTTACCCGTGCGCACATCAAGGAACAATAACCAGCCCTAAGGTGGAAGAACACATTGAAGTGCCACTAGCAGCTTCAACTTTTTCCGAGAGTTGAAGCTCCGCAGCCCCGTGTGCAACCCCAAGTAATCCATGGAAACATGATTTGAAACTACTAAACACTCACTGTGAGCTTCTGTAATAATATGGGAGAAATGGGAACGAAGCCTCATGGTGAATAAAACACGAAATATTATCCAGAACAGGCAAAGGCAGTCACATGGTACCGCAATTTAACTTTGTATTTTACAACACACCCCTCAGTGAGGATAAACATAAATCACTGCTCATGGACCACATCTCACCATGTCCCAAGTGATTTATAATGCCATAAACATGAAAATTACACATGAATTGATTCACCTTCGTTGCCACATTTCCCCCAAATGAAATTGGATGCGAGTTTGAATGTTCTCTCAAATCTAGGAATTTCCTCGTTTAGGACAATATTTCATAGCCTCCACTGCTGTCTCTGCCAAAAATATTGTAGCCCAAATTGTTTTCTTCCAAAATTTCTTCAGATAAATATTGGCGCCCTCGCATCTCAATGCATTTTGACAATCATTGCTTTGCTTCATTCAGAACAATGTCATGGCCTTGTCCACGCCAAATCCATTCTGCCAACTCCGTTGCTAAAACACAAGCATTCAGCATCGCCCGTCATTCTTTGCAGGCATGTGCAATTAACGAACCTACAGAAAAAAATTAATAAATAAATTGAAGAACATTTACAAGCAAGACCTTGCCTGTAAATTGATCAATATATTTTCTATTATTTTTTCCTTTTTTTTTTAATTTTTAAAACTGGAGAAGCAAATGGATGGATTTTTTTAAAATCTAGGTCCGACAAAACTCTATGTCTATAATTACTATCCTTATAGTCTTGGTTTCTGTTGCAATGTCTGGTTCAGCTTCGGCCTTTTGAACGGGGGGTCAAGAAGTTCTAAATGCACTACACTTCTAAAAAGCAGTGAGTCAAAAGAAAAACAACAAACAAAATCATTACATTATTTTCTTCCTTGACTTCATCCAAAAATTGTAATTCGGCCAACATACGAGTATACTCATGTTCCAGGTCTTTTAGTTCACTTCTAAGCAGTATCACCTGCACAAACAAAATTAACAAATTAACAATTCTCGTTAAATAATCAAGAGTACTTTCTGGTAAGTTTGGCATTGTTTTTTTTTTTTTTTTCTCGTTTGGAATGTTAAAAATAAAAAATAAAACTTGGGCGCTCAACTTTATCAGAGACAGAAATTTATAACTTGGGCCAAGCATTTTTACTAGACAGAAATTTATCTGGTGCTTCATACATTTATCAGAGATATGCTCACTTATATGGGAGGTGTTTGACTACTGTATAGCATTTGAAATTAGACTTGCAAGAAAACTCCTATTGCATAATTCTAGGCTTCTGAGAACTATCTAATTATTTCTTCCTCTTTTGCTTCTCAATAGTCTATCCTGAACAATGGAATTCCGCCTTTGAAGCTCCATATGGCAATGCAAATTTGCCAAACCATTTTTTATTGTGTGGGGCTCAAAACACCCACTCCTCAAGACACTTCCAACACATTCAATGAAATGTTAAACATTTCAAGGGTTATATTAACTGAAAAATGAACAATATGAATATGGAAAACAAACTACAAGCTTGAGGCTTCCACAATGTATAAGTGAAGATTAGTCTCAAGTACCTTACGATTAAGTTCTTCCTCCCCCTTCTCAAATTCCAAGCATCTGGAAAACAAAATGAAAAACATGTAAGAAATTTCCAGAGATTATATTGCCAGATATGGCCTTAGTTCCACGAAGTCTAGAACAAAATGTGCTATTCAATCAGAAATCAGATATCTTTGCTCAGAGTAGCAAATATTTTTGGCTGCTACAATACACTTCTTTTGTTGGTAGAAAAAGCTTTATAATGTAAAAGGAAAAAATTGAAAATAAAATAAAATAAATTAATAATAATAATAATCCATCATTTCTGAGATATGTAACTCTCTAAAATATAGCTGAAACATCAATAAGACATCCACATATGATTTATGAAAGCCATAACAAATCAATCCCTTTGGAGCCACGGCCACGGGCATAGCCAGAGATTTGCCCAACCCACGGGCATAATCCATCATTTCTGGGATTAGTCGGTTTACCTGGATACCCGATCACCAAAAAAGAATCAACATACCCTCATAAAACTAAATTCTAAAATACTCACCGTACTTGGAGCCTCTGGTATTCTTGCATCAAGTTTATGGCTTCCTCACCTTCCAACTGATTTACAGTAGTAGGGACAGACTACAAAAAAAGCATGAAGAGCATTAGCATTAATTTTCTGTAAGAAGATGATTTCATCATAACAGGGTCCGAAGAATAAAACTTGAGTATTATATTTTTCTTGTAGAAGATGATTTCATTATAACAGGGCGCAAGGAATTTTATCCAAAGAAAATTGAGGGAGGGTTATAACTGAAAAACTGAAGGAAAAGTAAGAAGAATAAAAAAAAAGGTATATTTATAAAAGGTATCCTCATCTCCTATTCAGCTGAGTAGGAAACAATAAGAGAACAGAAAGAGGGGGATGTTTGACATTACACTTGCACCATTATATATATATATATATTAAAGGAACAGTCTTCAGTGGCAAAACCATAAAAAATGCTATGACCTTCCCCTCCTTTCTGCCATATTTGGGCAAAAAGGTTCCCCCACCCCTGCCTCTTTTCCTTATTCATCTTGCCTCATAATGAATGGACCCTAAAAGAGAGTTTACCGAGCTGTACTGTGTGAACCGATAACTGAAGAAAGTAGCTCAAGATGTACAATGAGCAGCTGTTCGGAAAATTCAAGGTTTTAGCCTGGCATATAACGAACAAAGGCAACTATTTGCTTTAAGTTTTCATTTACAGGTGAGATAGGGCAGTGCACTTGGTTCTCAGCTTAATTAGAGCCTGTATAACTGAAGGCACCACCTAGCTTTACCCAGTAAAGTCTATTGGTGATGATACCAAAGACCTAGGATCAAAACCCAACTTCATCAGCATTGGAGGGGTTAGTAATTGAATTAAAAACCCAAAAAAAAGGTCGCTTGAACTGTGATTCAGGTAATTAACATTTCCTTCACTAAAAGTGGAGCCACTGTGGGTTAGTATAGTATCAAAGTTAGCTCATGCTAAGAAGCACATTCACTTCTAAAAAGGTAATCTATCTATACTACACGATACGACACTCGTCGGATGCTTCCCAACACCTGGACATACATGAAACACATTACAAATTTGAATAAATTAAGTTGAAATCCAATGATAAAACAAAAACAATGTAAATTTATACATATTCTCCTCCTTTAGATTTTAAAAATTATTATCTTTTATTTAAATATTCATAGATATGACATGATAATTATTTAATCATTATATTTGACATATGATACATATATAAAAGTATATATTTTGCACGTGTCGTGCCCTACATACTTTAAATTTTTTCGTGTTGACGTGTTTGTATCGTGTCATGTGCCCGTGTCCATGCTTCTTAGAGCTTAGGCATTAGTCAAATGAAGATAATATATCACATCAGATCCATAAATGCTTTCCACTCTAGTAGATGTTTTTATCAACACCTGCGGCTTACATAAATGACATTCATAAAACATTTTTGTAATAATTTTCCCAAATAGACAACTTGAGCATATTTTAAATATTGATTAGTGCAGAAATTAGGGAAATACAAAATGCTTCTGTTATAATGCTTTGTTGTCTGGAACTTTGAGCAATCAAGAACAGAATGATAAAAAATATATATAAAAAAAAGAAAAAGATACAGGTGAATCAGGATGTTAAAATAAATTAATGGTAGTACAAGCAATAAATGCATTTGTGAGAAGTTTGAGGCAACATTGGATAAGGGATAAGAAGCGGGAAGTTGGACGGTTTGGCCATGCACAAGGTGGAGCAATGAATTCATCAGTACAAGAGGAGTGATTCAATCCAAGCTTTTTTTCCCCATTTTTTATATTTTTTTTTATGAGCCCATCCAAGTTGTAAAGGTATCAAAAGAAAAAGAAAGGGCAGAAAGCACTTCGTGAGGCTCAAAATTACCCAAAAACGTAGCGGTTTACATTTTGGAACATACGTTCTGAATGGTATACTTCCGTTCCAAAACAGTGAATATAGTGATCACCAAAAAAAATTCCTAGTTATTTCTTAAAAGTTTTCCTTAAAACTAAGTTTGGTTAGAATGAAAGCGATAGAAAGTGCAGGAAAGAGGAAAAAAAAAAATTTGAAACATTTCATGTGTTTATTTAGAATGAGTGATTAAAAATTCAGGAAAGTTAAATTTTTTGAACAACCCATATTAGCATGTTAATTTGATTTCCATTTTCTTGCAAAAAATACATGTATTTTTTTTTCCCCTCATGAAAGTAGCCAAATGTTATAACTTTCTCACAAAAAATTCATCTTAACGAACTTCCTATACAAATAAATTTTCCTTTCACTTCACTTTCATTTCTTTCACTTCACTTTATATTACTTTCACTTTTCATCATATTCTTCACTCTAAGTCTAATCAATCAAACCCTAATAAAAATAAAATCTAGTTAGAGTGAAGTTTTGCATAAGAAAATGTAATTAAAAAAATGCTATAATGCTTCTAGAACTGTGCTTTTACATTATTAATCTGAAGTTTAATACACTATATTTTATTGGATGTCTAATTATTAAAAGAATATTGTTCTCACATTTAGAAGCACCTTAAATTCTAGTAGTTTGATCTATACAACATTATCCCCATCGTACCACATTTTAGAGGTCACGTACCACATTCCTGATATCATATTGGAATGAACTACATTCCAGATAACATAGGTGAAGCTACAGGATAGGACACAATTGCCTTGGATTAAATAAGGATATGGCTCTAGAAAGAGTTGCCTGGTCAAGACAGATCCATGTGCTGACCCAAATATTTGGGATTTGAACTAGTTAAGGTGGGTTCTACAAGGACCTAGTATAAGTTTTCTGAATAAATCTGTGTGTATTCAATTGTGTGTTTCAATTACATCAAGACCTTAGTTTATATAACCCTAACTCCTAAACCAAAAAACGAAACACAAGATTCACATAATCACAACAATGCCTAATATATACACAATCAGAATTATATCAAATCTATAATATATACAATATATTTCTAGAATATATACGATATATTCTCACACTCCCACTCAAACTCAAGGTGTTTTAGCTGAAAACACTGAGAGTTTGTCAAGAAGAAACTGAAACGAGCAATGGTGCGAGTCTTATTAAAATAAAAAACTATATTATTTTGATTTGTTCCTTGATTGATGTAATGGGCTATAATGAGCTGGTTCGTAATTCATGCCTTATGGCACTCATGTAATTATGCTTTATTCTTAACATAAAAAAGGATGAGGTCTTACTCATTCCCTATCTATTTCTCTTCTCTAAAACTATCATATGGTATCATAGCCACAAACCTAAACCTATACACCACCACACAGCCACCCATCTAGTTTCATCAACTTATTGTGAGAATAGAGGTCCTGACAGCAACAGAGGATACCCAGGTTGAGTTGCCTACTGCCATGAGCCACCCAGGCCTGGTCGACTACTGCTGAAAGCCTCCTAAGCTTGGTCACAGTCACCAAAGGCCACCCAGGCCCGGTCGGCTGCTGCAGAATGCCACCTAGGCCCTGTCGAAGGGCACCCAGGTCCTGCCAAAGGACACCCAAGCCCTGCAAAAGTCCACCTATGCCTAATTGACCGTTGTCGAAAGCCCACCAGGACCAGTCGGCCCCTCTTCTGCTCATCTAACAGTATCCTTGTCTGTTTCAACTCCATCCACTGCTCTGCTGCCCTCTGCCTACTCTATTTCTGGGTCTGGTTTGATTAGTTCATCTGACTGTTCTACATAGCAACAATCTTTATGTATCTGTTTGATTGATGGGTCACTCTTTCATCATTGACTTTCTTATATGGCCCTATTAATCTGAAACTGAATATTATATTATGATCTCATAGTGGTCAGTGCTACACATTACTTGTTCATCCCATTCCATCTTTCCAATTTTTATGATTAATGCAGTATTCTTGGGTTAGGATTGTAGATTATACATGGCTGACTTAACTAGTGGATCCCCCACCATTTCTCAACCACTTAAGGGGGAGAGTCCCATAATGACTACTACATCTGACACTCTGAATCCTAACTGTAAAATCACCACCTCTCTATTTAATGGTCAAAACTACCTAGCAGAGTCACAAAGCCTAACCCTTTTTCTCAAGAGTAAGGTAAAGATGGGTTATGTTGATGGGAGAATACAAGCACATAGCATTACAAATTCTAGTTATGACCAGTGGGAGATTATGAATTCTCTGATTATGGGATAATTGAAACACTCTATGGTTCCTGAGATTGGTGCAGGATGCTTGTCTATAGATACTGCACAGGATATTTTGGAGGCTATGGCTACAACTTATTCCCGCAAAGGGAATTTTTCCCAAGCATTCGAATTGTGTCACTCCATTGAACGGTCAGCATAAGGTGAGAGGATTATTCTCTAGTATTTTACCTTCCTTAGCAATGGGTGGAAGCGTCTTGGTCACCTTCAGGATTACAAGCCTATCTGTTCCACTGATTCTGTTGGTTACCGAAAGTTTGTAGAGCAAGAGAAGGTCTTCTAGTTCTTGGAAGGTCTGAATGTGGAGTATGATCCAGTTCAGAACAGAGTCATTGGCATGAATGTGCTTCCTTCTCTCCAAGAAGCCTTTACTTTTGTGTAGAACAAGAAGAGTCGCTGCTCTGCTATGCTTCCTTCTGCCACTACTGATCACTTTGCCTTGGTTTCTACACCCTCTCGAGATGGAGAGCAAGTAACCTGGGTTTCTCGTCCTTCCTCTGAAAAGGATCATCTTTTCTGTGACTATTACCGTGACTCGAGAGACTTGTTGGAAACTGCATAGGACTCCTGGTGGCCGAGGAGACCGTCCTAGTACTCGCGGGGGTAGATTTGGCCAATTTAGAGGTCGAGGGGCCAATGCTCGGGCACATCTTTCAGATACGATTGAGCCACCACCCTCATCTCCAGTTGTCTCACCGGTTGCTAATGTTTCAGGGTTATCTGCCTCTGATTTTAAGATCGCTCTTGGCCACTTGCTAGATCGTCGAGCCTCCACTTCTGTCACATGTGCATCCTCTTCTTCCTTTGCCAATTTAGGTAACTTGGCTTCCTCTCCATGTGCATTGCTATCTCATACAACTGTGCCATAGATTATTGATTCCGGTACTTCCAACCATATGTTTGGTTCCTTTCATTTTTTCTCAAAGTATAACCCCTCCTCAGGTCAAGAAAAAGTGCATATTGCCGATGGTACTATCAGGGAAAGGTTAAATTCATGCCACACCTTCCCTTCCTTTATCCTTTGTCCTCCATGTTCTCAATTTTAGTGTTAATCTTTTATCTTTGAGTCGTATTACTCGTGATTTGAATTGTAGTGTAACGTTTTTTTCCTGATCATTGTCTTTTCTAGGACTTTATCATGAGGAAGGAGACTGGCAGTGGTAGAGAGGAATATGGTCTCTACATTCTAGATCAGACCGACAAGCTGGCTCACTCATCTATTCAGTTACCATCCATCAAGGAAAACCTTTAGCTGTGGTACCGTCATTTAGGACATCCCTCTTTTTTACTACTTAAGCATTATTTCCTTTTGTTTTTGAGAAAAATAATGTGTTCAATTTTCAATGTGAGTCTTGTCAACTTGGGAAACAACACCGAGCTTCTTTTGCTCTTATTAATAAAAATTCAGTTCCATTTACTTTGATTCATTCTAATGTATGGGATTCCTCACGTTGTGTCTTTAAAATGTCAAAAATGGTTTATTACTTTCATAAATGGCTGTTCTAGGGCCACTTGGGTCTATCTGATGAAAGAAAAAAGTAAGGTATTTTTTGTATTTCAAAACTTTCATGAAATGATTAGCACTCAGTTTGGGGCGATTGTCAAAATTTTGCATTTTGATAATGGGGGGGAATATATTGACTTTGGTCTTGCCAGTTATTTTGCCACTCATGCATGGCATTATTCATCAAATTTCATGCACTAATACCCCTCAACAAATTGGTGTTGCCGAATGAAAAAATCGTCATTTTCTTGATGTGGCCCGTTGTCTATCCTTTGAAATGCATGTTTCTAGATCCTATTGGAGGAAAGCGGTTCTCACTGCAGCTTATTTGATTAATCGTCTTCCTACTCAAGTCCTTTAAAAACAAACACCTCTTCAAATTTTGTTCGGGTCCACCTTTTCTGGATTCTCCATTTCCCCTAAGACCTTTGACTCTGTTTGTTTTGTCCATAATCATTCACCCACTCGTGCTAAATTAGATCCTCGGTCTCTTAAGTGTGTTTTTCTGGGTTACTCTGCCACACAAAAAGGTTATAAGTGTTATCATCCTCCCACTCGCAAATGATTTGTCTCCATAGATGTTACCTTTTTTGAGTCTCAGTCGTACTTTCTAACCTCCCTAGTGTCACAGTTATCCCTTCAGGGGAGTCTTGATGTGAAGAGATTCATGTTCCACTTCTACCAATGGTTGAACAGATAGAGGATGATAAGCCAGCAATTGTTGTGGAAAAGGAAGCAAGCAAAGTTTATGTCAAAGACAAGGATAGACAGAAAGTCACCTAGATGCAAGAGACTACTTTCTCTCCTCTACTGCCAACTTTTTCTCCAGACAAGTGTTCAGAGTCATCCCCTATCCTGAGAGTCCAGGTAATTCTGATCCTAGTGCTCCTTTTCCTGAGCTTTCAGATCTTCATGTTCTCATTGCTAATAGGAAAAAGGTTAGGTCATATACTCAGCATCCTATTACCAATCACGTCTCTTATTCTAATCTGTTTCCTTTATATAAAACCTTTCCATCTAAGATTTCTTCTGTGAGTCTACTTAACAATTTTCAGGATACTCTCTCTATTCCTAAATGGAAACATGTCATGATGGAGGAGATGAGAGCTCTCAGCAGGAATGGCACTTGGGAGTTGGTGGAGTTACCTCGAGGCAAACATCCAATTGGGTGTAAGTAGGTGTACACTGTCAAACATAATGCAGATGGTTCCATCGAATGGTACAAGGCAAGACTAGTTGCTAAGGGCTTCACTCAGACTTATGGAGTAGATTACCAGGAGACATTTGCACCGGTGGCCAAGATGAACTCTGTGAGAATACTACTCTCTCTTGCAACAAATTTGGATTGGCCACTTCACAGTTTGATGCGAAGAATGCCTTCCTTCATGGAGACCTAAAAGAAGAGGTCTATATGGATATTCCCTCTTGTTTTGAGGATGCTAAGTCCAAAGACAAAGTGTGCAGGCTTCGAAAATCGCTTTATGGGCTAAAACAGTCGTCTAGGACGTGGTTTGAACGGTTTGCTCAAGGTATGCTGAAATATGGGTTCAAGCAAAGTCAAGCTAATCACATCTTATTTGTGAAACACTTCTCTCATGGTAAGATAACAGCTCTTATTGTTTATGTTGATGATATTGTTCTGATAGGGAATGATGTTGAGGAGATCCCTTGGTTGAAGGAATATTTAGACAGGGAATTTGAAATCAAAGATTTGGGTAATTTGAAGTATTTCTTGGGCATTGAAGTAGCTTGGTCCAAGAATGGCATCTTCATATGCCAAGAGAAGTATGTACTTGACTTGTTAAAAGAAACTGGGATGCTTGGAGGTAAACCATATGATACACCTCTAGAATTGGGCTAGAAACTAAGTGAGGATCAAGGGGGAGAGCCAATGGGGAAAGATATCAGAGGCTAGTGGGTAAGCTCGTATACTTATCCCAATCACGTCTAGACATTGCCATTGCAGTAAGCATGGTCAGCCAGTTTATGCATACCCCTAGAACTTCCCACTTAGAGACGATTATGAAAATCCTGAGGTACCTGAAGTCCTCTCCTGGAAAGGGTATCTATTTCTCGAAACATGAACATCTCAGTGTGGAGGCATTTACCGATGCGAATTGGGCAAGATCAGTCATTGATAGACGATCAACTTCTGGGTATTGCACATTTGTTGGAGACAATTTAGTCACATGGCAAAGTAAGAAATAGAATGTGGTTGCTAGATTTAGTGTTGCAGCAGAATTTAGGGCTATGGCTCAGGGTGTATGTGAGTTGCTATGGATTTGACTATTGTTGGGAGACTTGGGGATTCATCAGACCGATTCCATGATACTGTACTGTGACAACAAGGCGGCGATCAACATAACTCATAATTCAATTCAGCATGACAGAACAAAACATGTGGAGATTGATAGGCACTTCATCAAGGAAAAACTCACTAGTGGCACCATATGTACTCCATTTGCAAAGACTGGGGATCAACTAGCAGATGTTCTCACCAAAGGAATAGGGAGCAAACCATTTCATGACATTCTCAACAAGCTGAGCATGAAAGATATCTTCGCACTAGCTTGAAAGGGAGTGTTAGAATAGAAATTATATTCACGTGTTAGAATCGAAAATTATATTATTATGATTTGTTCCTTGATTGATGTAATGGGCTGTAATGAGCTGGCCCGTAATTCATGCCTTATGATACCGACAGTTACTGCTTGAAAAACCACTAATTCTTGTAAAAGGCATAAACCTTCTCAATCATACCACAAAGTAAGATGTAATACAAGAAAGCACTAGTATCTCTGCAATTATAGATGTATGCTGTTCCACATACACAATTATCAACAACCAGGTGCACAATTTAGCAGCATTGTCTCATCCAGTTTCTAATCATATAAGACAACATATATTACCACTAAGCAAAGGGGCATCCAGAGCTGGAAAGATCAAAAGATGTATTTCATGTTATATATATATATATATATTAGGTTAGGGGATGTACACATATAAGGCTTGCAAAACAAGTTAATGGCTAAGATGGTCCACGACTAAAACACAAACACCAATTTCCATAATCGAAATGATATAATGCTGTTAAACTTCAAGCTGAATAATATGGTTCCATTTAAGCTGTCATCATGAGCTTATAGTTTAGGTGGAAATCAAATGATCAAAGACAAGGAAATATAACATATGATTTCCCAACTCAAACCTGTATTTCCAGATTGGACCCAGTATCAATTACATTGACTCCTCCTGCCCTCCTTTTCACCTTTTCAGGTTCTGCTAAATGATGATCTCCTTTCCTCTTTAATTGTTCTCCTGTGCAGATACAAAGGAATTGTATACTAGAAAGATTGGAAATGTCTGTGATTAACAGATTAAGGCTCCGTTTGGATAGATGGATTTTAAATGAATGGATTTGGCATCACTCATTCAAGAAGTATAACAGGTAATTCAATGTAATATTCTAGTTATGGACTTTAAGAATGGATTTGAGAGTTTTAGATTAATAGATTTGAAATAACTAAGTGAACATGATTGTTTGAAATCCTTTCATGAATGATTCTACTTCTAAAAAAATATAAACAAAATGCATCTTTTCTATCTCTATGCATTCTTTACTTTAGAATTATCAATCTACATCCATTAATCAACCTTCTTACAATTTTATAAAGTTGAACGCCAAATGTCTTCATTTCAAATCGATGTATCCAAATGAAGACTAATCTATTTTATTTCAACATTTACCTGGTAGGCAAATCCTTTGAAAGTTGGGTAATAATTTTCCAGGCTTTCTTTCTATGCCATTGGAGGAAGCAGTAGGTAGGTGCCGAAGACCAAAACCTGGCGGTGCTGCATTTGTAGTAGCCATTATAGAGGAAATCTTGTTAAGCACAACAGGTTTTTTCATATCAGCTGATCCCAGTGAAGGGGTTGGTGCTGGAAGCTTTTTCTTAACCTGATGATACCCAATGAGTCCACAATGGTAATCCCTGCCAAAGTTCACCAACAGGCTTCAGCTATTTGCTATGTCTCCTCAGAAACCACAAACTAATAATTATCATCCCATGTGTTCATACACCACCTAAAGATAAAATCATTCAATTTTTCCTGTAGCATTTAAAGGAGCAAGCACAAAGTGGCAATAGATGACCCCTGCCCACCCATAATAATAATAATAATAATAATAATATGTTTCATCACCAGAAATAAAACTACACTTAAGATGGTAAACTTTTTACCAAGGAAAAATGAAGAAGAAAAAAAGAAAGAAGCAGCTGCAGAAAATAGTTCTACAGAACAGGGAAAAAACTCTGATCAAATTATATAAAATCAATCCACAAACTAAGATGCTAAGTTGATAAAATAAGAGAAAATGGATTACCAACAGCTCAAAACCAATTTAGCCACGACAATATTGTGATTAGACATACATAAAAATCTTTTCATTGCAAGTATGTGCTTTATAAATAACTTACCAGTATTCCCATGTCATTTCCTTCAAGCGGTTTTCAAGCTTTTGAAAAACAGAAGTTTTCTCAAAATCTTGCTTATTGTGGGTAGGCTCAATAAAATTTGCTTCCAGAACACCTAACAAAAAATCTGAAGTCATTAAGAAGCAACTTAAACCAATTCAAGGTATATATATATATATATATCTGTGTACATAAAGAAAGAAATAGAAATAACACAAACAACGTGAAAACAAAACCAATAAAACATAGCAAGTGTTTTAGTGCCTTCTCACCAACAACCCCTCTGCCTCTACTGTCAGTGTAGCTTACAACATGCCAAAATGGCTGCAAAAGAAGAGATGAGCACAAAGATGTAATGGAATGAGTCAAACAAATCGATGTGGTATCATATTAACATGCTTTTTTTATTTAGATTTCAGATATTTTCAGAATTTTACTGGTACAAAATCATTTAATCTGCCAGTAACATTCATTCTTACAAGAAACTCAAAAAGAATTTTTTTAAAAAAAGGCTTATGGAATTTGGAGGATTTCAAATCCTGACAAAGCAGGATAAGAGTTCAGCCAAATTACTTGTTAACCCAATCAACATGTATCAAACCACATTTTGTACTCTGCAACAGAACAAAATAATTGTGCAAGGGGTGCGAACAGAAGCTAGTAGCATAATGCAACGCCAAACCACTGATGCAAAACAAATTGAGTAAAACTAGTCACCAGTATTAAACGGTTCTTATGATAGACATTGAACCCATGGAGATTAACTCGTGGAGCTTCCTTCAGAAACCCTATTGTTGTGAGAACTTCACCCTGCACAGTTAAACCAAAGCATAGTAAAGTGAATGATAATTACCAAAAATCTACAATACATGCATATGGATAAGCATCCAATCGCTGTAGAGGACTTGCATGCAGATGTAAAGTTAAGCATACAACTAATACCAAGGGGACATAATACAAAGAGAAATGGCACAAGGTTTGACAACATGCAGACACATGAAAGAATGCAACAACACTAGAGAGCGAGAGAGAGAGAGAAAGAGGCTATGATGGCATCTAAGGGCATGCTTTATATCTGTCAATAGCCTCTCTCTCTCTCTCTCTCTCTCTCTCTCTCTCTCTCTCTTTCTCTCTCACACACACACACACCCCTTTTTCTAACAATATTAGTTCCCGATAAATTACGAATAAAGAAAAGGAAAAACAACTATATGTTTACATATTTTGAACTTCCTGTACCTCATTGAAAAATCCTAATCAATATCGAACTTCTTAAAAATCAAGTTTTAACATAAAACCTTGATTCTGTTAGTTTTGCTTAATGAGTACATTTTTATATTTATGCATATCAGTGTTTACCCACCTGTTCATTATGACCTATAATCCCAGTCAGCCATGCGCTTGTAATTTGCCCAACTAAGGGCAAATTACATTGTTAAGCCCTATACTTTGGCCCTTGTATTATTTTGGTCCTTTTAATTTCAATTGGATTGATTCTGACCCTAAATTTTTTACCGTCTTAAATTGGTCCAATTGATTCTAATTGTCAGCATTTTTTATGGCAAAATGCGCACATAAATGGAATGTGTCATGTTTTTAGGAGCAAAATTGTAAACTTGATCAATTCAGTGACTCAACCACCACCAATTCAATGAAAATTTTCTATCAAAAACCCCAACAGCATTATCTATTGGACCAAATTGACGCAAAATCTAAAATTAGGAATCAAAATTGAGCCAATTGAAACTGTAGGGTAAAATGGCACAAGTGGCAAAATGTAGGGACTACTGGTGTAATTTGCCCTAAAAATAATTTTAAAATTCAGTATGAGTTCAGGTTCAATTGAAAGGATTACTGTGATTGATATGGAGATTGAGACAGACATAACTATCCTTGGATATCTCTACGCGGCTATGACAAAAGCATAATCACAGAAGTTAAAACTGTAAAAAAAGTCATTGAAACAACTTGACAATTTACATAAGATGCAAGAGGTGAAACAACTTGACAATTTACATAAGATTCAAGAGGTGACGCTAGAATTTTAGGATCACAATCAAAACGTTTCCCCCACCCACCTCCAAAAACAAAGATACAGTATACAACCAAAATAGGAATTCACAATAATTAAACACACCTCCACACATCCACCACTCTGAGGTTTGTATAAGATAAATTCTGGAAATTTGAGATCACTGGCAATATTATGATAATCAATAACTCTCCCACGCAATATTATGCTGAAACTTTCAGGTAATCGCAAGTACAAGATGGAAAAATATACCTGTGAATAGTGAAAGGAGGAAATTCAGCAAGAGTTGACCATATATGTATTATTTAATACTAGTTCTAAAACCTACACTTACACGGAGGGAATAGTGAAGTCGGTTAGCCATGTGCTGTTCATTTACTAGTGCGTACCGATTCTTACCTCTACCTTTCTCCGTAGGTTTGGCATCCTGCCTCAAACAAATATCCTGCACCCATCATGTCACACGCAGCACCATATAGAAATTTATTCCAAAATATATTTCAAGAAGAAACAAAAAGAACACGGAAACAATTCTAACCTCAGGATCTGAGTTGAAATCTAGCTCCATTGTATTCTCATCATTTAACCATAAATTATAGATGATGACTTTTGTGCCATGATAACCAATGTCATCAAACTGTTCATCAAATTGAAAACCCATTAAATAAGGGTAACAAAATAAATAATAGCTATTTAGGCTACCAATGCAGCAAGAGACATATTAGGAACTGTCACATAAAATGCCACCAAATCAATTCCCAAGATTAAAAACACACAAAATCATGTTCCAAAATGCCATTATCCTCTAATCAAATGCAATAATGCAACAATTTTTGCATTTGCGTATTTATGATGGGTTGCTACACTGTTCCTCAATACAAACTCCATCTTCCTTATAGCTCGTATGTTAACAAGGGCATCTCTCACCCATCAATGGCAACCCCATCAGCTTTTTTCCGTCTTGCCTACATGGAAACTTATCAAATTTTTACAGACAGAAAAGTCACGGATTTGATCTCATAGCCAAGAACTTAAGTCGCAACAAACACTAAGAGTGATCATCCGCTGAATTTGCAGCTTCAATCAGAGTCCCAAATCTCTCATGGTCCGGAGGTCAAAAAAGGAAACAACTTTATTGACATTCTAAATTACTCTCTTGCCAGAAAACATAACTCTCTCTCTCTCTCTCTCTCTCTCTCTACACACACATATGCTTGTGTCAACATATGTTACCTGGAATGCAGACTCTTTCAGTATGTGGAACAGGAACGTGGTACGCCACATGTTCTAAAATGTGATACAATAGGAGTAGACTTGTATAGCTTACACTTCAATAATTTAAGATCTATGTTACCAAGAACATGGATCGTTTCGGTATATGAAACGGGAACGCGAACGTGAACGTGGTACGTCACATACTCTAAAATACAGTACGATAGGAGTAGACTTGTATATTTTACAATTTAAAGTACTTCTAGAGTAATTTTCTTTTAACTATTAGATATCCAATATTTTTTATTTTTTTTTTCATGTAGGAAATCATTTCTATGAAAATTATAACCCATTTTTTGTGTTTTCATCTTGTCAAAACTTAGCTCGCCTTAGATTTTAGTTCATATATTTGATTTTTTTCCTCCTAAGGTTACATTTAAGGAAATATATTAGAAAAAACTTTTGAGATCGTTTCGGATCACTAAATGTACCTTTTTGGAATGAAAGTGTACCATATTTCGGAATGTGCGTACCAATACGTAATTCACTAGGGTATTAGCGTTTTCTGGTAACATAGTTAAAGATACTTCTAGAATAATTTTCTTTTAACAATTAAGCATCCAATAAAACGTAGTTGTTTTTTTTCAAATTAATCATGTAGCAACACATTTTTATATGAGCATTATGACCTATTTTTTACATTGTGTCCTATCAAAACTTCACTGACCTTAGATTTTAATTCATTATATTTGATTTTTTTTATTCCTAAGAAAACTTTTAAGAAATTATATAGGAAAAAACTTTTGGGATTGCTTTAGATCGCTAAATTTACTATTTTGGAACGAAAATGTACCATGTTTCAGCACACGTGTTCCAAAATGTAAACCACTAGAGTATTAGCGTTTTCTGATAACACTGGTCTACACTCATGTTTGGTCTGGTGCTTTACAGGCTAAAAATTGAATCAAGTTCACTCAAAATGTCTAGTTGAGTTAATAGCATGTTAAAAAATAGATCTATTTTCCCTATGGAGCTGTTTAACAACAAGAGAAAAGAACTTTTAGAATTCAATCTATAATATCTTTTTTTATATAGATAAAGATTTAATCCATAATAATAAAAGACTTAAACTCCAATATTCAACCATATGAAGGAAAATGAAATTCTGAATTCTCTTTTTCAGGTAAAACAAAATACCACCACAAAAGGGTGAAGGCATCAGGTACACAAGCAGTAACTGAGACAAGTGTAAAGAGTATGAAGATCACTATAATATGCAAGTTAAGGGTTTCACGCAGTTTTAATAGTTATTCTGCTTCCAGGATAAATTTGCCTGTATAGAACTAGCAGATTGATGAATCATTACCCTAATGACATAACATAATAAAGGTTCCTCTATCTCATTTAATTATTCATTTCTCATTTATCTAATTTCATAAATCTGAAAAATACATCAGTTGGAGTATAATTATACCACAATATACAGGTTAAATTTCATATATTTCTTAAAAATCATGAATGAATTTTCTTCTTAAAGGGGATAGAGGAATGCTCCTCGGCATCAATACAGGAACACAGAGAGAAGATTGGCTGTCAGACTGAGGGAGATAAAGCAGTTGACAACAACAGTAGATGCTTTGGGAAATATCCAGCACTGCAGCTGGGTTTCGTGGGTACAACCAGGAATGTCTTTTGAGAAGTTTGATGGAGGCAATTAGGTTTGTATCTGAAGGGGTGGTAGAAGCTTTGGCCTCGAACAGCCCACCATCTCTGTGTCTCATACACAGTTTTTGTGGGGTGACAGAGAAAGAGTAGATCTTCTGTATGAGGATCCTCTAGAGTTTGACCCCTGAAATGATCTCCTAAAGTGGAAGATCCAACGGCTCAAAATGTAACTAACCAAACCAACGTCGTTTTGGTTAATAATTTCCAAAAAAAAAAAAAATTTGCATTCATTCAAAATTCCCTCCAAGTATAGCAGAAGCAGTAGCAGAAGGCGGGAGAAGGCAGGAGTGCAAGAGAGAGAGAAGAAGAGAGAGAGAGAGAAAAGAGGCAGGAGTGCCGCCGTCCAGCCGTCGCCCCGCCGTTGCCACCATCCAATCGTCGTCGCCGTCGCTAAGGTAAATAACATTTCATTCATCCTTTTATACATTTCATGGCCAGGTTGAATGAAGATCTCTCTAGAAAAGAAATTTAAAACATCATTTCATTCACCCCCTTTTTTTTTTTTTTGAAATCTGGTTTTTCATCCTCCAAACATCAATTCCAGTTCTAATATTCCAACAATTTAGGAACTCATACAAACTCACCGACATACATCAAAATTACTCTTTTGTCCAGTAAGGAGAAGAGTTCATCAATCACTTGTTTTAAAACTAGTTTCACGCACACCAGGGCATTTTCTGTAATTAAAAAAATCAAATCCCTGCTAATATAGATATACTAAGTCTTATAGTAGTCATAAAATTAAGTATAGCTATAAAACATTTTTTTGTATCATCAGCCACTCAATAACAGAACCTTCTCGTAGGAATGTTGGATAAAGAGCTTAAATCACTCAGTTATAGCTATGAAACATAGTGAAACCTGTGCTTTTTGCCTTCAATTTGTTGGAGTATGGCAGGCAGCAGCGTGACAGCGGCAGCGGCAGCGACGCATCGGGGGTGGATCCGAAGACTTCCTCCCTCTCAGCCTTTTTCTCCTTTTCTCTCTCTCTCTCTCTCTCCCCTCCCCCTCTGTAATGCTTCACATATCAGATCTGTAGGAATTTTGAATGAAAGTATTTTTTTTTTATTTTTTTTTGAAATTACTAACCAAAACGATGTCGTTTTGGTTAGTTACATTTTTAGCCGTTGGATCTTCCACTTTAGGAGATCACTTCAAGGGTCAAACTCTAGAGGATCCTGATATAGATGTTCTGGGTAAGGTAGAGATAGAGATTAGATATGTTTTGTGTGTGTGTGTGTGTGTGTGTGTGAGAGAGAGAGAGAGAGAGAGAGAGAGAGAGAAGGAGGGGGGGAGCAAGAGGAGATGGTGGTGGTGGTGGTGGTGGTGACCTAAGTAGCATAGACATGGACACGCGACACAACACGGTTTTGCTGATTTGGCGATTTTCAAAACATACAGGACCTGATACGTTTAGTTCGCATTAAAGTTAATACAACAAGAGCACTTAAATACCAAAAAATAAATTAATAAATAAATAATGGACTAAGTAAGCACAAGCATGGACACGCGACACTCCGACATAGCAATTTAAAAACAAAATGCAAGACATAATACACCTAGCACAAGTCAAAATGTATTATATATTAAACATGTGAATAGTTTATTTGAAGGCAATTAAAAAATAAAAATAAATTAAAAATAAAAAAACACAACACTAATTAAAACTAAAAAGTCATATATTTCATAACTTAATTATCAAGATATCATTCACGTGACAACTACATTATAAGGAATGTGTTGGAATATTTAGAATAATATCCCATGATTGATGAATCACAGGTTTAGTGTGATTTGTTTTATTCTTATTTCCTAAGACGTAAATTTATTTCAGTAGGGTAAGCCAATTTACACAAATCTTCTGAATGCAAAACAAGTATAGAACATTGACATACATGTGATGTATTCATCTTATAAATATATCAAAACATATTTAGAGTGCACAAGTTGCATTCCAAAACATTATATTAGTATGAAGAGATTAATCGCATAGATCGTGTTCAGAGGATTCGAGAAGTGTCATCGAAGTGTTAGCAAAGTGTCAGTCAAGAGTCTGATATTATGAATTTCAATTTTTAAGACGGCGAAAAAGTTGGAGACACGCTTTTAGGAGTGTATGCAAAATGTTGGTGTCCAACACAACATGCTTTGTTAGAATTTACCATCACCTACCACCACTACCACCTCACCTACTCCACTAAACCTAACCCACTACACCACTACCACCTCACCTACTCCACTAAACCTAACCCACTACACCACTACCACCTCACCTACTCCACTAAACCCACTACACCACTACCACCTCCACTTCACCTACTCCATCTACCACCTACTACCACCTACTCTTCTATATATAGGAATCATTGTAGCATTCAATAATTCAACAATAACATCAATATATCAATCAATAATAATACATACAATTTATTCTCTCTCTTTCTCTATACATTATTTCTTACATGCTTTATAGAAGCGTCCATGCTTCTTAGGCGGTGGCTCTAGATGGGGTGTTAGTAGGCTGGCAGTGGTTCGATTTGGTTCTATTCTACATTTGCTACAATCAGTTTTTCTGGTGTTGTAGAGTTGTCCAAAGGAGAGATTTTTGCCGTGGTAATGGGGTTACCGCTGCACACACCAGTGATACTGGTGTTCATGTGGTGGTGGGATGGTAGAGGTGTTGACTGGTGACTAAGGGGATGGGTCAATGCTAGTTGGCACAGGGGAACACATGTAGATTAATGACAGGTGCAAAGTTTTGTATTTTTCATATATTTTACTAAAAGTAACAGGTATTGTTGGAGAAAAAAATATGAGAGCAATAAAATCATGATTTCCGTCAAGACAGTCTCCTGTCATAGTCTGACAAGGGAAATAGTGTAATTTTGCTTCTGTGGAAACAGACAGAAATAAAGGCAAACCTCAAGGGAGATCATTGTAAATTTGTAATTCACCCAAAAATAAAACATAACAATGTAGAAGCTTTACTTGTTTCAGAAGCTCTGATTCTGTTGAATATGGAGACCACTGCAACAGCATGGAAAGATTAGACATGAAATGTTCTTTACCATACGGGTGTAAGGTTTCAAATCTGCTAGTAAATGTATTGAATTCAAAATCCACCTGCAACATACACATGAAGTTGAGAACTTAAGCATGTAATGTATGGTAATCAATTTAGGATACTAAGAATATCCAGCAGCTTAAAACATAAGAAAAATAGGCAATAACTGATAACAGTCAACACAGGTTTATGACCTAATTCACCATACTCCAACCAGCAATAAGGGAATTTTGATCTCTAAAACAGGTTGCCAGTATTACATCTATGTCATGTACACGGAGCAACAAAAATACAATTAATTATCACACAGGAACCATTATAAATAACCCTAACTAATAATAAGTTTCCTAAACAATTCTTCACCAAACTGACATAGGTTGTTCTATTAAAGCAAATTAGCATTTAAATAACATTTGCTATGCATGGACCAACCAAACAGCAAGGCATACTCACCATGGGAACTACTATTCTGTCATGGCCTGTTTGCGTCAGAAATGTATATGACAGAAGACCAATGCTTTGGGTTAACTTCCTGACCATGAGATAATAGCAAGGAGATCAAAAGATTAAATAAACAACAATATGACGAGGAAAACTAAGTTATTTATTCAGACAGAATAGAACTGATGTTGTCTTCGAATATAAACCAATTTTAATTACCATACTTCTTATAGAATACTGGCATGCTAAATTTTATCCATGACGATTCAGACACAACTAATTTACCCAAAAGCCCAACAGGGGGTTGGGGGGAGAGGGATAGAGAGGTAGAGATATAATAAAACATGCAAGAGAAGTCACGGACTCAGCAAAGCAGTCTTGCATAAGCATGTTACAAAATTCATTGATACTCGATTGTCTGTTTGATAGCTATCTGAAACAAGAGGATATGAGGAAAGACAATGCCACAGATGAAACAACTTTTTTTTTTGGAAGATCATTCTACCTTTGCATTGATTCTTTCCAAGAACAACATGAAATCTTGAAGCATGTATCATCTCATATTCTTTGCAGTTCAACTGAGTTTCAAGTACAAGCTACAATGTGGTGTGTCTCAATACGTTCACTAGTATTTTCTTCTTCCTTTTTCCTTTTGTCAGAAACCCGAAAACATCTTACCCCCAGTACCCTACTCCTAGTTGGTATCAAGGACAACGATGGGGAACATAAGCAGAAAGGTTCAATGAAGTTGGTGACATCGCCTGTCTATACAATTTTGGGACTCGATCTGGAATGTTGATTATAAGGAGCTTTCTTTTCACTCTATTTCTTTTCTTCTTCTGTTGGTTTCCAATAAAATAAATTGAAATATTTACCATGGTTTTTTTTTTTTTTTTTTTTTTTAACAACTCTTATTGCTTTTGTGAGAGTTTTTATTGTAGGATTGACTTTTTTGCAAACAAATCAGTAAAATGTAGTTTGTTGAGAATCATCAAATGTTGGATGATGGCAACACAATAGAAGAACTAATGATGAAAAAGAAGAGATTATTTAATTATTATCCTTTTTTTATAGTTGGGTCTCAGTTAACATTGATCCATCCCTTTTAACCAATTTTTAAATTTTGTTGAGGTCGTTAAGTATAACTGATATAGATCTCCGTTTTTGTTTGCATCCCCTTGGTATATATCTTTTACTTTAAAAAAAAAAATGTTCGATATGATCGGCACCAATTCTCCATTTTCAACATGAGCAATCATGCATAAATAGCCAGGTATCTAACAAAGGGAATACAAGTATTAAATGGTTAATTGACTCAGAGTATGCAATGCACAATCTATCTTCCTCATCTTCTTTTTTCCTTTCCAATTTTAGATAATTTTCCTTCCATTTGCTAATGGAGCCATATGAAAAACAATAGACTAATACACGTAAATCAAGATCGAACCAGATGCAAAATTTATGGTTAGTCTATCCCCATTCAACCCATTGACCAGTTCAAAATTTTAAGTGACTATAAATTATGGCTCTGGTTTTCAAAAGAGTGACAGTACGTTGACATTCATATCCAAACCAACAGCTCAACAAATTCCCAAATTCAACCATCGAGCATTGGTTGAAACCTTAGTGCAAACATGCTGAAAATTAGTGCATACTGGGGAGAAATCACAGAGACCCATAATCTATGAGGTTGGCCAAAAGGGATCAGAATACAGAGGGCCCAAGTCAAATTTCATCTGCATAACAAAATCTTCTGCAAAGGATTGCAGCGTTTTTTATCCTTGATTTCAAATTTAAGAAATTTCTCAAGACCACCAAATAGCACTCTTTGGGATAAAATAAAATTATAAAAAAATAAAACTAAAAACTACAACACACGAATACCTCATGGTCTCCAATCACAACAAAAGTGGGTAAACATAATTTACGGTTCCAAGTTATCATGAATCACTTGAGCCAGAATTTCTTTCATTTATAGGTGTTTGTGTGTAAGCACAGAAATATTAATACATGTAAGTGACAGTTATATTAAAGCATTTGTTTGAGTGAGCAGATAGATTCATTACAACCATATGTGAACTATAGAGCATTGCATCCACTATGGTATTAGAGATGCTAAAATCATTGACCAGGATAAAGAACAGAAAGCAGAAAAAATTGCGAACAAATCAGCAGAACAGCAAAAACAGAAATTTGGTTTAAAGAAAATAAATGACTTCATTGTTGGACTCAAACCTTTCCGAGCCTTCCTTCGAATGGCGACTAAAAACAATAACATCTGCCCCAAGTCTCATAGAGCTGGTCTTGAAGCCATTTCCATCTGAAAGGCTACACAAGTCAGCCACCTAACATTAAAAGAGAAAACAGTCGAATTTGCAAAATGAGCCCATGGTCCATACACTGTCCAATAGCCGATTTTGACTTCTTATCTGAAAAGCCAAAACTCAAACAACGCCGCATTGCTTCTGAGTCCATTCCACCACCGTCATCTGATTGTGAAGCATAAAGTTTCAAATGACAAAATTTACATAAAAATTGGGAAATGATATTCACACTCCCCTTTTAGCCTCCCACACTCTTTGTTCTTTATTTTATTTTATTTCATTTTTTTTGGTCATCTTGGCTCTCACAAGGGAAGCATGACAGATTAAAAGGGGAGTACGAATATAATTTCCCTAAAAATTTAAAGAAGGGTGATAATGTCAATAAGAAGAGTTCAAAATCATATTAACTATCAGGTACCTCGAATTAACAATGCTGGGCATCCATCCCTCGGATTTGAGGTTTTATCTACAATGACAAAGGTGGCCCCGTTTTGAATCTATCAAATGGAATAAACAAGGAATACAAAACATAAAAACAAGTCATCATACTTGGCATAAAAAATTAGGCATGTAATTTTCCATTGATGAACATTAAAGTTAAATATTAACCTTCATGATGCCAACTAAGAAGCCAATTTATGTGGTGAGAGTCAATCTAACTAACAATCTAATTCCTTTGACGTCACAATTTCAATTTTGGATTAAGTGATATGCATCTGGAGGTGAGAGCACACCTATCCATTATGCTCTCTACCCCACCCCATCTATTCCTTCCTTCATCTAGTTCCTAACCACTCACCACCCATTTTGTGTTAATATATGGGGTTTCAACTGGATGAATGAGTTGCAAAGACTGGAATATTTGAGATGACTATTTCTACCTTCATTACATCAATCAAGCAATTCTTGGAGAAAGAGAGAGGGGGGGGCAGGCAGGGGAAGGAGAAATGAAAAACCCACACAACTAATTAAGTAGTACAGAAGGAGCAGGAAGTTAAAGTATGTAGCAACATCTTTATTCAATTAAAGAAACTAGTTAGTTAAAACCAGCAACTTGACAGCCTTGCAACATCCCTCCATGTACCAAATTAGGGTTGCTCTGGTTTAGTGCCCTTTAATGGCTCTTACAACATGTTAATTTGTCCCTTCCCTTAGTTCTGTTCACTGCTTGGCTTAATGAGCGATGGACAATAGTCTTTCCGAATTTCCACCTTTCAACTCTATCATTGCTTTTCAAATAAACATTAATGACGAGTCACACTTAAGACCAAAAACACAGATAAAGCCAAAAAGGTAAAAGACATTAATAACCAAGCTATGCTACTAATTAAGAGAAAACCTAGGTTCCAAGGCACACTATTGCTTAATAGAGAACCATTCACAAATTTTAAAAAAGTAAATGCTTTACAAATACTGGCATAGTAATAGTGGTTTGCTGAGTTGGTTTTGCTCTCTACCTTCTCATGGGGGGACGCAAACAAGAGAGGTCAACTAGAGTGGAAGCCAAACAACGGGGCTGAGAATTTGTGATCGTTAGGATCACTTCTAGACGTAAAATTGGAAAACATGATAATATTCATACTAATAATTTTTGGACCAGTTTTTGAGCCCTTGACTTACCAATAATATTTGGATTGCTTCTGGGCTTAAAAGTGAAAAATATGATAGCTATGAAGCACGGACACTTCAAAATAGGTGTTGTAGCGGTGTCGGACACAGGGACACGTACGGGACATACCAAATGGTGTGTCCCTTTAATTTATTTATTTTTTTGTTGCAAGGAACACGGCGGGGATACGCATGCTCAAATATGAATAATATATTAATTTGTTTAAATATAGTGGTTTATATATATATATTGAATTAATGTTAGGTTTTATTAATTTTGATTATTTGATAACATAATATTAATCTATATAGCAAATACATATAATAAAAATAATAATAATTTGTCGTGTCCCCCCGCCACGTCTGTGTCCTTGTTTTTTTGAAATCACCATGTCCCATGTTCGGTGTCTGTATCTGTGTCCGTATCCGTGCTTCATAGTACGATAATATTCATACCAATAATCTTTGGATCAATTTTTGGACCTTTACCAATAATATTTGGATTGATTTTGGACTTAAAATTGGAAAACAAAATTATATTCATACCAATAATCCTGGACTGGTTTCCAAGCCTTTAACTGACAATAATGGCAAAAGAGTAAAGTTAAAGGGCATTGATCCATAATCTAAGCTACTGAGTACTACCAGCTAAAAGAGGGCTAGGTATTTAACATCAGTGATCATGTCAAAGAACAAAAAGAAAAAAACACCTTCAACATCAATGCTCAAGAGAGAGAGAGAGTGAGAGAGAGAGAAGAAAACAATAAAATTTAACCCTAAATTTTGAAATTAACATCAATTCCAAACTTCTGTCCAATTCTGTTAATTAAAACTAACAAAGAAGGGTTAATTTAGTCAATTCACGCACATCCTCATGGATACTATTGTGAGTTCAATGGCCTTCTCCATTTCCCTTTCGTAGCTCCACCACTGTGCAAGGTTTTAAAAAACGACTACAACTGTTACGTAACGGTTGTGGTGGTTACTGTCACCCATTACGGCCACTATAGCGGTGTGAAAGAAATTCACAACCGTAATGGCTGCCACCGTTAAGTAAAGGCCATAACGGCTGTTACATTGCCGCTATGGCACCATTACAGCCGTTCCGACCGTTACGCTTCTATTTCTAAGAAAAAATAATATTTTAATAAATATTGTATATAATGATTCTTCTTTTTTTCCTGAACTTACGTAAAAATCTTATATGTATATGTTTTAAATGTCTAATATTCAAGTTCTACAAAATTTGATTACTGTTTCACTTAATTAGATTTGAATATTAATTTATATCTATTTCTCTTATGTTAAATTTATTGAACAAAATCTAGCTTTCATGTTATGTACTTTTTATATTATTCTGTTGACATTTTGTATTTAAACTTATGTTTATGAGATATTATTTTTAATTTTAAACATACTTCATTTTTTTTCTTATCAAATTGCAAGTTATCCATAAGTATAATTAGTAAAGCAAAGAAAATTGAGTAAATTCAACAATAGAAAAATTCTCCATAACGACTTAAAATTAATATAAAATTAGTATATATATATTGGATCATGTTTTAAAACTAAACAAAAATACTAAAAATCATTTTGAACCTTACTAAATGTGAATATGAAATAAAAACAGTGTATCGTCATGTTTTCTTAAAGTTGAGAGAAAAATTAAAAAATTCACGGTTTCGGTTGCCAGCACCGTTACGCTATGCCATTACACCCCACAACCGCGTCAATGCTACCATTACTATTACGGTAACCGCCACCGTTATTTAAAACCTTGCCACTGTGCCACCACCACCACCCCCCTTCGTTCCTATTCCCCAACCACCATCAGCCCCTTCTTCCTCTTCCCAATCACCACCACCACTGAAGTAAGCTAGCAGAAGAAGGAAAGGAAATGCATAAAAAAAAAAAAATTACAAGTTGAGAAAAATGAAAAAGATAAATTGACAAAAATATCCTATCTCTGTTAGTTTTAATTGAAGGGAATGAATGGATGGTTCAAAATTGACATCAGGTTCATAAATTAGAGTTTAATTTGAAAATTTTAAAACCATATGGTTTAAATTGTTATAAGGGTCAAACTAGATGTTTACTTTGTAATTTTCCCTCCTTCTACGAGTGGACTTCTATCTCAGTTGAAAACTTCTAAAACGTCTCTCTCAACTTTATTAAGGAATTTGAATGTAATTTCTATGCAGATCAGTTGCAAGACTGAATCAACACAGCATCACAGAATCGCACGGAGAACTAAAATAACAAAGTGAACAACTAAAAATTTTGGACAAAAACTTACCTCATCAACAGCATTATCAAGCAACTCTGCTATGGCTGCAAACATGAGGCCAAAAGTAAAGATGGCATCAGAGATTGTAACAGTTCCAAAATGCAAAACATTCAAACTGCTAGAATTGCGGGGTGAATAGGATATAATCAGGGTAAATATAGTAAGCAGGACATACCACCAAAAGCCCATTTATGTGAAGTGGCATTTGAATGAAGGAACCTGGGGTGAATATGTAGATAACTACTGCCATCTGTTAGAAAGAGACAAAAATGTAAGGGTCAAAATGGAGCATGCAAAAAGACCACAGCAAACATCCACCCTGGAAAGTGAATTGTTTTGGTCCGTGGAATGAGAACGGGAATGCCAGTTGCTCTAAAATGTGATACGAGGTTTGTGGTCTAAGTCGCAGCCACGGTGTGTCCTTCACACCTGCGGTCTGTCTGTCTATAAAAGTATCCAAAAGCTGAAAATATGTTTTTTTTTTTTTGTTCATCTTCTTTCTCTCTCCTCTGGATGCCATTTTTGACTCATTTAAGCTTTCAAACTTGGGTTTCATCTATATTTACCCATTTTTTATCCCTAGTTCCATATACCAAAATGTAGAGGGTAGCGAGGGCTTTGTTTTAATCTGAATGGATCGTCTTTTCATCGTCAGTGGATTTTCGACTTGTCTCCTCTTCTCTTCAAGAGGTAGGGTTACATTTCTTTGACTCAATATGAGTTTGGTGGTATATTTGTGGTAATTTTGAGTACAAGGAACCATGTTGTATTTGTTATTATGTTGATTTTGAGAGTTATGAATTGTGGGTTAAGGATTTGGTTAAGTTGGGAGTTGATTATCTATAATCTTGCTATCAAACATATTTTATGTATATAAGATTGCATGTGCGTAATTAAGAGTGAAAAAACCCCAATTTGTGGAAAAAAAACCCTAAATGGTGACGTTTTGGGAAGTTATCGGATTACTGGGAAAATCTTTGTTTTGTTTTAAAATTGAGGATTTGGTTGGCCGTGCTTTTGAAACTTTTAGAGTAAAGAGTATCGATTACTCTTTTGAAATGTTGAGGTGATTGAAAAGCTATATAGGTTTTAGAAATTTGACGTAAGGGGTTGGATATTGATTATTCAAATATTGGGATTGTATATCTATGTTGTCATCTTTTAAATTCTTGCATTAGAGATATCTCTATTGGTGGAGGATAGCATTGTCATGTATTAGAAATTGCATGTCACTAGGCAATTGAATCATTATAAAATCATACATTTCATTATGCATATCATGAATTTGGAAGCTTGACACTTTATGTTTTGGAAAAGTTGTTTTGAAACACTTATATCATTTTGAAGAAATGAGTGAATACCATGTGGAATCTAGTTAGGGAGTGTGGTTGTGATTAATTAAGTTGGCATTTGTATCCTTGGTGAAAGTCCAAAAGCCCGTGCCGTTAGGATGCCTTCCTTCCGGATAGTACCGGTGAAGTGGCAATAATAATGCTTTATAGCCTACGTTTACATGGGTCCCGATCTCACTGGTGAAATTCCAATGAATTGGAAATGGTATTGCTTTTATAGCCTGCTTTTATGCGCGTACCTAGAGATTCCCAATGTTTGTATTTACCGTCCTATTTTTTATTTTAAAGGAACGAATAATGAATTTATGATTTGGATAAACTGGAAATGCAAAGCAATGTATTTGCTAGTTGGATTATGATTCAAGAAAGTGTTTTTGGAAAATGGTTTAACCAAACAAGGGATGGTCATAAATAGAAAATGTTTTGAACAAATGAAAAGTTTTGATGATTTGGAAATGTTTTATTTGAGCAGTAGCATGTGTTTGAAAAACACATTGAGCATATTATACATATAGCATCATAATCATCTATGCTAGTGGAGTTGTGTCTAGTCTTTGAAATGTACTCTACTGGACTTTATGCTCAGCCTACGTGGCTGAAATATTTTTCAGGTGTGATGATATGTTTGAATATGGGATGATGAGGCAATGGTATTTGTTGGAGCTAAAGTGGAATTGCTCTATTACCTGCAAGCCTTGGGCCATTTGTTTAATAGACCGAGTGCCATTCTTGTAAGGGTTACACCCTTTATATATGATATAAACCTGCGGGCATTTCAGTTAAGTATGATATCACTGTATATTGAATGTAGGGTGTATGTAATTGGATGAACTCATGTAATGTTTGATTTTATTGTATTCATTCGCATGAGTGATATTACTTTTCTTACGCCTCTTATCGTCTTTTGTCTACGGGTTGATGGGTTATCCACGTGGGTTGGATCTCCGAAATCCGAGCGTGACATGGACACACCAAAAAGGAAGCAAATATAGCAAATAGACAACAAAAACATGTCATTTATAAAAGTTGTGCAAATTCACTCAAAAGATGCAAAAGAAAGAAAACTAACAGTGACTCCTCAACATCATAGCCATGAAACTAATGTTAGTACACTGAATACATGATCTAGATATGACACTAATGCAAAAACACACAACATGAAACCTTAGAGGTCCGGTAGGCACTAATCATGACATATGAGCATTATAATATGATTTTACACACATCATAAAATACAGCGATAAATATGCCTAATAGTGGGTAAACTGGGCCTATATGCATGACAATCATGTCATGTGACTAAAACTTGTTGGAGATAAGATTATCTTGTCAAAGATATTAGAAGATATGGAAAATATCATAATATATGGAGATCCCATGATTTGTGCTTCCATCATCCTGCCATGGCGAAGGCCTGGGTTGAGATTGAGATACAATCGACTGTGGCGCTTGGCGCTGTACCCTTTAAAGAAATAAAGTTGCGCCTTCACCACTACCTATGGGTTTTGGTGAGATGGTAAGCGCTTGATCACCCTGGGCCTTTTTCTCTCTAGAATGCTTTCACTCCACCTTTTTTGTTATCAAGGTGTTTTTCCCTCTTCCCTGAGTTGACCAATAATTTGATGATGTGGTAAGCAAACTTTGTGATTTTTACTTGTTTCAGGATTGCCAGTGTGTTCAGTCGCATTATTCTATGATACGTTGAGTTTTTCAGCTACTTCTCTACCCTTTTAGGGTCCTTGTGCTAATGTGATAAGCACATATTTGGTTCTTTTTTATTTTTTGGGCTACCGGTGTGTTCGATAGCATTCTTTGTGGGATGCCGTTTTTTCGACCTTTTTGTTTGTGGTGATTTGTTGTTGCATTGGCCTTGTTGCTTTCTCTCTCTCGGTTTATTTCTCTTGCTACCATCATCACTAATTCCATGCACGTTTCTCTGTTGCGAGATGTTGAATACTTGCCTATGTTCTTTGAAGTTGTTGATGGAGTTATTACAATTGTTGTGGTCTTTCGGCAACTTTATAGTAGTTGTTTGTACTGATTATCCTATTTTCGAGTTCAAGTTGGACACTTCACTACAACTATTCCGTATTCCAACTTGAGGGGGAATGTTGGTTAAACCAGTTATTGGAGAGAATATAGTGAATGTTATTAGTACATACGCCTCACAAGTAAGATTAGATGAACAGACTAAGAGAGATTTTTTAGACCAAATGGATGAGGCGTTACAGGAGATACCTGTAGGAGAAAACCTAGTTATATGGGGTGATTTCAATGGCCATGTAGGAATAGATAAACTAGGTTATGAGAGGGTGCATGGTGGGTATGATTTTGGTGATAGAAATGAGGCTAGTCAGAGAATTTTAGATTTTGCGTTGGCTGCTAACCTAGTGATGACCAATACTATGTATAAGAAGTGAGAGGAGCATTTGATAACATTTAAGAATTGGTCAATTAGGAGCCAAACAGACTACTTTCTAGAAAGAAAAGTAGCCAAAAACTTGACGACTCTTAAAGAATTGGTATGCCAAGAGGACAGACATACAAGATAAGGAGAAAAGAGGATAACCTGAGGGTGTGGAACCCATGACTGATTTCACTTGTGACTCTGCTTGCAGACATTATGGTATCCTTTTGTTGTCCCCGCCAAGTCAGTTCCTGAAATGAAACTCAAGACTTTGATGGAGCTTGGGTTTCTAAGGGTTTATTTGATGTTGTAAATAGAACCGTCAGTGAAGTGACACAGGGGATGCATTTGACACTGTACTTTCAATGGCTTTCTTTAAAATGTTTCAAGCATCCTCCTCACTCTTGAGCAAGAGCATTGACAAGCTGCATAGTCTTGCTTGTGTACAATATGAATGTTGTGTATGGTTGAGGTGTGGGCATGGAAGGCGATGGCCGGCGGTGAAGTGGCTGATGAGATGGTTGTGGGTGAGATGTGTATGGAGAAATTGTGAGATGTGTGGGTGAGATGGCAATTTTGTTAAAGGATAAAATTGTGATTCTAAAAAAATTCATTAAGTGTGTGGAGTAAGGAAACTTTGTGTGTGGAAATAGAATTACCCTTGAAGTGTGTGATGTATGCTCTAAGCACTCAACAACAGCCTCTGACATAATGAGGATTTTGAATTAGGGTTTGAGGGCATGTGTGGCAGCAGTTTGGCTCTCAAAAATCTCTCCAAAAAGGTTCTCTTCTTTGCTAATGAGAGGAGTGGTGTATTTATAGGCCCCATATACTTGTTAAGCAAGTACATATTCTTGGTATGCAAGGCACACCTTGTATCTATATTGCAATCCCATAGATGTCACTACCATAATCGTTTTGGAAACAAAATCTCGCAAAACTTGGTCTACAAACGTACAGGAAAGAATGTACGACCGCAGGTTTGTGATGTGCAGCCACATGTTTCCCTGGAACTCCAAAAATTCTGGGTCCAACCCGCAGGTACAGGACCTACAGATTCACCCTGTTTGTGTGGCCACAGGTTTTCTCAAGTGGGCCCCACTTTGCTTCATGCTGCAGTCCACTTTCCGAGCAATTTTGTTTGCATTTCATGCACTTAACCAATTCTGAGTCAATTTTTGGAATTAAAGCCTAATTTGATCGCCAATCAAAACCTAAAATTGATCAATGTGTGAACTGATTTCCCACATTCCTTTTTGAAAACATTTGTTTTGGCTAAGGTTGAGAACAATTTTGCAAACTTTGGGCTTCATGTACGAAAATGGCGGCCCATTAAGCCCATTAGCCGTTCAATAGTGTTGTCGCAATGAATTGGGTATCAATCTCATCATTGGGAAGCCCCCGGAATGACAAAAACTTATGGCTAGTCAAAATGGATGTCTACAGTAGGGTATTTTTTAAAATTTTTAGAAAAGAAAAAAACAACAATAAAACTAAAAGATTGGAGACGAAAATGCAAGAAAGTGCATACTTTGGAGACTAAAATGAAACAAAAGGCAGATTTTATGAACAAAAAATGCTACAAAATGTATACTTCAAGACCATGTATGCATTTGGTCATTTTGATTTTGTTGTATGTAAAATTTTAAAATAACCCATCTTCAGGTTACTGATTTTAATTTTAAATGCCGCCTAAGGGCTAAAGTATAACAACTGGGACTGCAATAGAACAATTAAGTACACTGCAGAACATTAGTGTAATTAATCCTAAAATTTTTGGTAGCAGAATATACCTTTAATGATAGATTTAGAAACACCCCCCTCGTCATAGTTTCCAGATTTCCAAAATTGCCGGCAGACCGGTGCAGAACAAATAGGCGAAGCAGAAGAAAGGTTCGTATCATCAATTCGAGACCGCTGTTGATCCAATATACTGGTGTTACTTTGCCCAGTGCTGAAACCATCAGAGCTTCGATTTTCCTCAGATTTTAGGGTTTTTGACTTGTAATGAGCTTTATTGTACTCTTTTTGTTGCATTGAAAACCTAGACAAACAATTCCACCACCAATTCAACAGCTTTCACGCATTCACTTGTTCAAGTTCATAATCGCTACAAAAGTAATTCAATGTTCAAGTTCATAATCGCTACAAAAGTAATTCAATGTTTGCAGAGCTAATCTTAAATACGAATTAGAAGACAAATGCACAAATAAATGGGTCACCAAATAGCTGAAGAATCAAAAACCCTAATCATTAACAAAGAAAAAAGAAAAAAGGAAAAAGGGTTTTTCTTCTCACAAAGATGATACCATCACACATGCAAAAGTTACAAGTTTTTGAATTTTCAGGCAGCTACAGAGAAGCCAGTATGAACACAAATTTTACAAAGATTTTACAAGAAACTTTATATTTTGTCACCCAGATCTATAATGCTATGTTGGGATGGACAGATCTATAGTGCTATGTTTGGATGGAGTGATTTGGTGAGAAAAGAAAAGACATAGAGTGATATGTATTTTTTTTACTTGTTTGGATAACTTAAATTGAAAGAAATGGAGAGAAATTTATTTCTCTTATAAGTCTCATTTTCAATCTTTTCAAAAGTGGAGAGATTGAGAGAGAAAATAAACTATTATTTTCATAATATCAATTTTGCCCTTATAAAAATAAAAGAAATAAAACTATTGAAAATATAAAAAAACTATTTTGGTAATATAACATAAAATAATTTCTTTTCTTTTCTCTTAATGAAATCTAACCAAACAAGAATGAGAAAAATCACAATCATTTATTTTCTTTTATTTCTTCCTTATCCAAACAAAAAGGAGAGAAATTATAATCATTTCTTTTCTTTTGTTTTTTCTTATAACTTAAGTAATCTTTTCTTTTTTTTTCTCTCCTAAGTTCCCGAACATACTGTAAAATAATATTAAAAAGAGACTAATAAAAATAAAAAGAAAAACAAAAATGTAGAACTGGTGAATTTGAACACACTACCCAAAATTTAAAAGATAAAATAAAATCAGATCAAACCCACTAAAAATAAAAACATAATGGTTCTAAAAATTGGTTAAAAATGGTTTGTTAAGATGAATCATTCATCAATATACAAATAAAAACACCATTTTAGTGTTCTTTCACAAATATTAGTTTCAAAATATATATATATATATATATCAATTTAAAATAAATTAAAAGTAACCTGCTATAAGTATGAAAACAAGAATTAGTAATTTAAAAACTTCTCCACCCCACTACAATGCATTTTTGCATGAGGTTTTTATACACGAAAACTGTCTAATATAAGTTAAAAAACAAAAATGTGAAAAAGCAGAGAGAAGGGGAAGCAAAGGAATGCAGAGTTAACCAGTAGGAAGGAAAACCAGAGAGAAGGGGAAGCACTGAAGCATTAATAAACAAATATGAAAGAAAAGGGAGACCGTGAAGGATAAAAAGAAGAAGAAGATCGTTGGCATTAAAGAGTGATTTATTTTTTAACTCAAATTTTTTTGAGTTTTTTTGTTTTGTTGTATTTTGCTTTTTAGCAAATTTTTTTAATATTTTCAATAAATTTTTTATTTTTTAGATGTGTCTAATATGAAAAATTTACCTATAAATTTACCTATAAAAAAAGAAAAATCGAAAAAGAAAAGAAAGCATGGTTCAACTCCTTAATTTAGGGATGTGTTCCCTTGTCCCCTATTACACTAACCAAGCCAATTAAGCCTCCGTTTGGGAAGTGAGTTGGTTTTTTGGCTTTTTGATTTTTTTGGCTATTTTAGCCTGGGCTAAAAAGCTTGGTTTGGGAAGGACTTTTGGCTTTTTGGCATTTTTGACTTTTTTTGTGAGAGAAAAGTGTAATGATTATGGGTTGGAAACGATATTTTGTTTTTTGTAGCTAAAATAACCTATTTTGTCTTTTGTGGCTAAAATAGCCAAAAAAGCCCCAAACTCTTCTTGCCAAACGAACCCTAAATCCGTAATTAAGCAAGTTTAAGAGCCTAAATTGTCTTTCATTTCATTTCATTCCATTCCATTCTATTCCAATCAATTTGTCAAGAAAAAAGAGATAATTTTTCAAGAAAAACGATTTGAAAACAAGTATGGCAAAACCCTAATTACATGGATATGACTTCCAAACATGTATTTTATATCAAATAATCACATATCGCTAACAAATCTTTCCATTCTATTCCAATCAATTTGTCAAGAAAAAAGAGATAATTTTTCAAGAAAAAAGATTTGAAAACAAGTATGGCAAAACCCTAATTACATGGATATGACTTCCAAACATGCATTTTATATCAAATAATCACATATCGCTAACAAATCTTCCGAAAAATGTAATCATATTGAGTATAGTAAGTAAATCATGGCAATATTCCAAGGATGAATAACATTGTGTGGGGTGCACATCAGCCACTGCTGTGCAGCTATTTGGGCCATTTTCGGGTTCATTTTGATAATCCGAACTGTTCATATTTTAGAATACATCAAATAGAATATACCTGTAAAAAATCAAGTTAATCGGATATCGTTTACTCATTCATCCACTCACGTTGTATTTATTTTAATACTTTAAATAACAATTGTTATTTATTTTTGTAGATACAAATGTGAGTGGATGAATGGGTAAATGATATTCGATTAACTTGATTTTTTACAGGTATGTTCTACTTGATGTATTCTAAAATGTGAACGGTTCGGATTATCAAAATGGACCCTAAAAAAGGCCCAAATGGCTGCTGTGCACCCCCGCACAATAGCCACCCCAATTCCTTTAATTTGAATACTTGCATATTTTATAAAGATTTGATTTAGGATAATCTTCCTACAAAAAGAGATAATTTTTCAAGAAAAAAGCATTGAAAACAAATATAGCAAATACCCTAATTACATGGATATGACTTCCAAACATGCATTTTATATCAAATAATCACATATAGCAAACAAATCTTCCGAATATGTAATCATATTGAATATGTGACATACAAAGTAAATCATGGCAATATTCCAAGGATGAAGAACATTTAATTTCGAGGGCAAAATTTAAACAAAAACAACTTTTGGGGTGAGGTCCCCTGCCCTCAAATAGGAGGGGGCCTTAGCTCTGGATGCCTCTTGCTTGTTGAAATGAATGGATTATGGATCCGACTGAAATTCTGTTTAGTTTTGAGTTTTCAAATATGTTTTTAAAATTTTTGAATTTTTTATTTTCGGTATTTTTGAGTCTTTGGTGAATATTTTTAAATATTTTAATCAATTTTTTTTATTTTAACAAATAAAATATTTGTGATTTTTTTTAACAAAAAAAAAAGGAGTTTCAATACATTTTTTTTTTTGTATTTATTGATTTTTTATTTTTAAAATTTGACTAAAAAAATATATAAAAGTTTATTAAAGACAATAATACATGAAAAATAAAAATGCAAAAATTCAAAAACTATATTTCAAAACTCAAGATGAACCAAGTTTTTTGGGATGGTACTGTCCTCTCAAATTTTTTTTTTTAAAAAAAAAAGAAAAAAGAAAAAACTTATTACCTACAAAGTGTAAAAATTTATGCTAAAGTCCATTCTGAAATTGGAATTAGACCTTTGAAATTATGTAATCAAATCTTAGAAATCTGTTTAATTTGATTTGATTGTACGGTTTCATTCAAGATCCCAATTATGTAATCAAATCTTAGAAATCTGTTTAATTTGATTTGATTATACAGTTTCATTCAAGATCCCAATTATCAAATCCTAATTATCATTTAACAAAAGACCAATTAATTACGGAATTTTTAGTTTAAGTTTCCTAATATTAAAATTTTATAAGATATATGACATTCACAATTTTCATTGCATTTAGGGTCTCTCATCATTTTCACAAAGAAATTTTTTTAGCTCTTCATAGAGAAATTTTATCTCTTCAAAAAGAAATTTAAATTTCATAGATACATTTCAGCTCGTCATAGAAAAATTTATCTAATAATATTATCGTGAAACGTTAACTAATAAGAAAAAATATATTAGACATTTCCTACTACCTAGAAATTTTTCTAAGTCTGTTTAGCATGAAAATGGTAGAAGTTACAAGAAAATTAATTTTTTTTGTACAACTCATAGTAGCATGGTAACTAAACTTTTAGTTTATTGCAAAAAAATACACGAAAATACAAGAAAGTTTAAATTTGTTATAAAAGTAGTTACTCATAATTAAAATTCCTATTTTGTTACAAAATTTTCATCTTAATAAAATTCATAAGAGAAAATCTTTTCTTTTATTTCTACTATTTTCATTTTTCATAATTTATTTATTTCTAATCAAACCGAAATGTTTCACCAATTTTTTCATTAATTGCAATAGGATCAGATAATAACTTAAATTTAATTTATTGCAACAAAAAAAAATTGTATAAATTTATTAGTGTGAAATTATGACAATATTGGATTGTTGACCATGTTAAGGTTGAGTGGATGGTTAGAAATGGGATAAGCTCCCTTTCATATTACATCCCTTTGTATCTCTCTATATTCTTTTTTTTAGTTTTAATCTGAACTAATATCAATGATCTACACCATCTATCTTGTAAACCCCACAATAAGTGTCATCTATGTAAAAAAATCAATTTCATCAAAAAATTATAATATATAAAAATAAATCACATTTTGTTTTATAAAATGAATGGTAAATATAATTAAATTTAATAATCTATTTTATAAAACAAATGTGATTTGTTCTTGAATTTAAAATTTATAATATTCATAGTGTTAATTATATAATGATGTTAAATTATGACAATCATGTGCTTTTAAGAAATACCATAATTTTATTGATTCTTTTAAAATATGCAAATTATAAATGATATTAATAGTCATAGTGTTAATTATATAATGATGTTAAATTATGGCAATCATGTGCTTTTAAGAAATACCATAATTTTATTTATTCTTTTAAAATATGTAAATTATAAATGATATTAATATCCATAGTGTTAATTATATAATGATGTTAAATTATGGCGATCATGTGCTTTTAAGAAATACCATAATTTTATTTTATTCTTTTAAAATATGCAAATTATAAATGATATTAATATCCATAGTGTTTGTTAGTATATGTATTATATGTTAGTGCATATATATATTAGCTCTAAAACACCAACTAGCTTTAATAATGTTGTCTTCTTAGTGTATACTTTCCCCTTTCGGTGACCACTTTCCCTTTAGGCCATGATGTTGTTTTGTATAGTGTGTATACCACTTAGGCCATTTTCTCCTATATAAAGGAGACCGTGTAGAACATTCAATATATCAATCATAATACATACAATTTATTCTCTCTCTATCAATTTATCTAACAGTGTTAATTATATAATGATGTTAAATTATGGCGATCATGTGCCTTTAAGAAATACCATAATT